TTTAAGTAATTGAGATATCCGGGCTTTACACGAAATTACAGTACAGCGTTGTCATAAAATTCCTTGCAAAGAAGACCGAAACCGCGACGAATATAATATTTTCAAATTCAAATTGTTTATATGCCATTCGAAACAAGATGTCTGCAGTTTATGGGGAATCTGCAACTTCATTCGCAACCATAAAATGTTAGAGCCTAGAATTCAAACACGACATCTCAATGATGATGATGAAGTTAATACCTCCATTCACCAAAGAAAACATTGAAAAAGTTCAAAAACTTGTTCGAATATCGTCGAATCAAGTTGTAATAGATAGTTCAAGCCATAAACATACGCAAGGAATGAACCTGCATCATTTTTCTCACGAACACGATGGGTGATGAAAATGTTCACGCCACTGGACAAGCGGCAGCGAGTCACAAATTCGCAGGTGTTTTTGGAAATTTGTGGTGTTAATCCTGGCGATATTTATTTGTCACCTTGTCAGTGATGACGAAACATGGATGCGGCAGTACGATCCGGAGTCAAAACAGGAGTGTATTTTAAAGGGAGAACAGCCGCAACGGAAATTAATTTTTTTTATACATTTCCATCAGCATTTTTAAATCTTGGACTCAAAACTGGTCAGCTGCTCCTCGTCATCTAATCATACATATGCAAGTACTATTCATTTCATTACTCGGCCTTATATATACTATTGTCGTCACCTTTTATCTGCTTTGTGCATTTATAATATACTTGTCTTTAGAAAAAATTAACTCGGCCAAGCAAGTTTCAAGTTGATACCTTGGTAGGGTATATACTTTGTCTTCCTCCTCCCTGTGTCGTGCTCCTCATTGGTGAGGTTCGTGACCACCACGAATTATTTTGTAGAAGATCGCTTTCCACTTGTCGCGGTTTTCGACAGTGTGTTGTGCATCATGGACTCCGGTTTTGGTGTTAGTGGTTTGACGGATCCTGTTGCTTAAGATGTGCAGGAGAACTTTGCTTTTGTGAGATATCAGGACCAGAGTCCGATAGTTGCCAAATGTCCTGGTGAACGCCTTTTTATGCAGTGGTATTATGATCACTCGGCCCAGTCAGTTGGCCATTTCCCGCGTGTCCAGACATAATTGCAGATTCCTTGCAAAATTTGTACAGTCAGGAGCTTTCCTGCTCTTTAGCAGGTTAATATAATGACTGCAACTGCTTCTGAGTTTGAATAGATGGTTCAAGGCTGTGGTTTCTAAAACCTTCGTTCCTACCTTCTGGATAAGTGGTGATATCATGGTACAGTTCTTCACAGTATTCGCACCATCTTGCCACAACGCAGTCCTTCTTATGTAGAGGGTTTCCGTTTTTATCTTCAATGACCCACGCTTTAGGCTTAAAATCGCTACAGAGGATGCGTACTTTCTTGACAGGTCATGCTTTTGGTTCATTGTCTTAGGACTACTTAATTTATACAAGTAGAATATCAGGGTCCGTTTTTTACTTAGGGTACTATTAAGAGTTATTTGAACAAACGCTATTTGGTGTACCTCGTGTTTTTTGCTATCAATAGAAAACCTGAAACTCGAAAACCGGTTGCCCTTGAACCGCCTTTTACGATGGCTCCTCAATTGAAACTGTGCGTCTTTGGAATTCTTTTCTGACTAGGATAACACGTGCACAACACAATCCACCAAATTTTCAGGAAAATGTTGACAAATCAGTATTTTTTTATCATAATCGTTGATTGGTTGCTACTAACCCATTCTTCATGTCTCTTGTAGATTTATTTTGACGCTATTTGGTGTACCTCGTGTTTTTTTGGACATTATGGGTTACCTACAATGCGAAGAGACGGCGCTTCCTTGCATCCTAAGGCTAGAGAAAATTCGACACGGTCATCAAGGCCGCGGTAGCATAATGTTCAGTGCATTCGCCTAGCGAAGGGTGCGAGTTCGAGCCCGTCTGCTACCTGGTTCGCGTGGATTTTTTCATCTAAGTCACGTCGACACAATTCGCACAGCTCTAATCTAATCGTATCGTAATCGTGAATTTTTGTATGGAAGAAGCCAGTATGTTCTTCTTACATCCGTTAGGGGCGCTCCTTAGTTTTCATAGAAACTTTGACGAAGCTATAGGATTACGGAGCTGTCAGAATTTGTGCTTCGGCCTTTGCTAACTGTGCGACTGTTTCTCCGACAGGGATCGGAAAATATCTGAAGTACTGTTTTTACTTTCACTGTTAGTGAGCGTATATTATGTGTATATGCGTTTTTATCTTATTTATTTTTAAATTATAACAGAAATACATAGGTACTATGTATATGGAGGGACTTGAATTTTCGGAGATATTTAAGTTGACGTGGAGCTTTAAATTTTAGTTCTCAAAGATCTGTCATACTGTCAGTATGACTCATGCCTAGTGGCTGCTGATTTTTGTCAAAATTACCAGTAGGATGGATATATTTGAAAGAGATATTGGTATACCGATGGTCGAAGAAAAAATTGGTTGCATAAACTGCCAATAATTTCTTCTTTCGTAAAACCTGCGGGCAAGATATTCCATATCAAAAATTATGTAATAGCATCAAGAGGTCTTCTATTGGAACTGTCTTATGGTACATCACTGTTAATACGTTTTAAATGACTGTTAACCTTGGTTAGCATAGTTTTCAATCTAGGTTCCATTTTGGCCAACGAGTGTTTCGAAACTGCTTGGCAGTTATTACGATAATGTCGAAACTGCTTGGCAGTTATTATGAAAATGTTTTACTTAATATTTTGAAGTAAAATATGATCTATTGCAAAATGTTATATAAACAGAGAATATTAATAAATCATTAATTTAGGCATTTTAACCTTACAGTAGGTAAGACTTTTTGATATTTCAAGTAAATGTGTGTGTGTGAAATAACATCATATAGCTTACTATGATTGTGTCATCTTTAGGGCTGGGACAGTTAGTTTTGTAGATTAAGATACACGTTGTTCGAATAATTTAACTTGATTTTAAGAATTTATCACACCAAATACTAGAATCGAATATGCACATGGTTGCTCGTTTGTATAATTCCATTGTATCTTCCCGATACGGTTTATATCTAGCAATACTCATTTAGTCGTGTAATTTATAAATTTTATATTATCTTGTTCAATATCCTTCCCATCAAAACAAAAAAATCTCGGTAAATCTAGAATGAAACATTCGACAGTATATTCAATATCTAATAGCGTACTAGATATGATATTATTATTACTATGTGGATTTTCTCCTGCAAGTTGTGCATAATCATTTGTTCAGTTTTCCGTTTTAATTAGAGTATTCTGTAATAGTTATATTATAAACTTATATATATATATATATATATATATATTGATAAAAAAATACATTTCTGCTACATGTCCTTCAAACTATTTTTAGATTCGCAATCGTATGGCAATAGAAAACACGGGTAACCGCGTTGTTTTATACTTGTATCTTAAAATAATTATGCATGCAAATAATTATCTTTTAAATTTACAAATTAAAATCAAAAGAATATAGCGCTAAAGATAAAATACCTAGGTACTGTAACGTCCTTGACGTTATAACCTCCTTGTTTAGGTAAACTCTTTGCTTTTGCAATGCCTACGGTTGGCAGTTATATTAAAAAGTTAATGTCATGATTTTAAGATTTGAAATAAGGAATCGTCTGAAGGTTCCATTCTAGATTAGATCTTCAGGCACCAAGAACTTCCTCTCGTATTTAGATAAAAATTCTTTATAATCGCCTGAATGATAAAATAAAATAAATAATTTATCTCTATCAGTATTTTTCAATTAACGTCTACGCTCCCAGGTCCTATCCCTTCTGGGTAGAACTCTATAGTACCTAGTGTGATATTTAATAATATGAAAGATCAACGGTCATACTGTTTAATAATAAAAGGTGTACTCGTACGCACCCTTCCTAACGGCTCACTTTAAAAGCGACCCCCAATAGGCTAGTTGACCCTTTTTGGAAAAAGGTTTTAAATGGTTAATAAATGTTCTATTAGACCGAAAAAAATGTATTGTATTTTTTTTAAAAGTAGAAAGCTACAAATCTTTAATTTTAAAATAGACTTTTCATGGACATACAAAAACGCTGTCGGCCATTTTAGTCTATAGATAGTCTATGCTATGACGTGAACTGTGGTAAACAAAAACTCGTAAACACGTAGAAAATTACTTTTAACTGAGTTTATAATAAAAAAAAAACATGATTTCTAATAAATACCACAAAAAATTAAGTAATTATCATTACTGTATTGTACGAGAATATAAAAACACATCCTTGAAGACTCCAGGAAAGTTGTGGATTAAAGTGCCGAAAGAAATTAACCTACGCAACTTTATTACACTTATTCATATGTTGTATCAGTTTTATGTTTATTACTACATTGTAATACTAAATGCACTGTACTTACATAGATGCATTGTCGTTTCTCTGCTCCGCAGAGCAGAAATCGGGGTTTAGTGCAACAAATTCACCAACCATCAATGCGTCAATTCTTGGCAGATTTGTGCTTTCTGCTTTCACAAAGCCGGCATCCATAATTTGTTTAGTCAAAAAAAACTAAGTTTACTGTTTTTTTCTTTCCTAAAGTTAAAAGTGTTTTAAGATAAATTTAGTCAGACGAAAGAATCCACCTACAGTAACACGCGAATGACATTTAGTTGTTTACCACAAGAGACGTCAAAATCATGGCGAATGTGGCGAACAGCGTTTTTAGTGTTTAAAAAATATAGACTAAAAAATATTTTTTAAAATTAAATTTCTACAGCAATCTTCTGCTTTTATGAAGTGAAATCGATATATTAAGGTTCCTTACACTAAACACTTTAAGAAATAAACATTTATTTAATACAATTCGACATGAGTAAACTAGCCTATTACTTTTGGCGTTCACTTACTAAATAGTTATGTTTAAAAATACCCTTGTTCTATTGAGGACAGATTCGCTTAGTAATACGGAAAACCATTTTAATAATGAATTAAAATTTTTAGCTTCCAACATGGATTCAGAATACGATCAAAAGTTCGAGGAGATGAAGAAGTACATTCCTTTCCTAGAGAACATGATCAAAAGACTGGAAAGTACCAGTATCGCTGCGGCAAACCCACGACAGGCGCAATTGGACAAAATTAGATCTCTGAGAGACCTGCTTTTGGACAAGAAGAAAAGGTTAGATAAAGAAATTAACTATTTTGGGTTTCAGCGTTATAATAGTCTATTATATTGGTGGCGTAAGGCTTTGTTGTCGCTTTACTGGCATGATTTGAAGCATTTTTAAAGGAGTCCTTGTAAAGGTGTAAATATTTTTTCTCCACTTGTATCTAAATCAGCTTATCATATAATAAAAAAACATAGCTTACGTTAATGATTTTTGAAAAAGAATTAAAGCTTAAATTGTGATAATACTACATAAATATTTTTATTCATATGCACTATTAAGATATATTTATATATATATTTCGTTACAGGATGAAAATGGAGAACCTGCTCAAATGTGAACAGGTGTTGGTTAATTTGTACACGAAAGTAGAACAGGTTAGGCACATTATAATTCGTTATGTATTGTATAAGTCAGGTTAATATTATATAAGTTTTTTAAGGTGATTCATGACTTCTTTTCTGTTTTAGAGAGATACAAATGCCAACCCGAACTTCGAAGCAACAGCGCAGAATTCCAAATCAAATGATAGTAAAGATCTGGAAGTAGTTCGAAATAAATTAAAATCTGTCGCAAGATCTACCACAGTTGAAGGCCAGGAAACTCTGCCTGAAATTGCGCGAGCTAGTGCTATAGAAGAAAATTGTACTCCGGGGAGTAAAGAACCTGCGCTGTTTCAAAGAAGACCAAACAGAGCTTCGAAATCTCCTGTTCGGAGTTTACAAAAAAGCCCAAACAAAGCGGCAGCGGGTTCATTGTCAACTAAAAGAAATTACACTCGGGTGCTACTTTCACCAGAACCAAGCAGCAGACGTTGGGATAGTGATGATCAAATCTCAGACAAACCTCTTTTTAGTCGTAGGTCTCCACGAAGGTCACCCAAAAGATATTCTCCTGCGTATAACAAAAAAGAGAGAAAAAAGTCTTCCAAACAAATTCAGGGGAAGAAGTCAAAAGATTTGAATATTACATTAAATGTCCCAGAAGAAAGTTTGGATTCTTTAAACAGCAAGGACATACTATCAAGGATTATGAATTGTAGTGATAATGATGTTGATATCGAAACTTTAAGAGAAGCTAAACGACAAATTCTTAATGAATTAAAACACACAGGAGCCAAATGCGATGATATATCAGATTTGTTATTAAAATCATATAAAAAGAGTAGTTCTTCTAAAAAGAAAGATGAAGTTGAAGAAGGGGAATTATCTGATAGCGAAAGTGAAGCTATCCAAAGTATCTACGGCAACTTTATGCTTGATGAGAGTGACACCACTATTAAAGATAAAACTTCTAAATCAAAAGACAAGCCCAGAAAAATTCAGATTTGTCTTGTTATCAATTCGGATAAAGACGACGCTTCTTGTGAAGTGAAAAAAGAAGTTCCTCGAGACACCGATCCCAATGATTTTGAGATGTATAATAAAAAATCAACATCAGATATCAAACAAAATGTAGAAATTGTCACAAAAGAGAGTGAAAAGAAGTCTAACTTAGAAGAAAATTTGAAAGAAATAGAAAAAGTAGAAATTAATGAAAAAGATTCAAAAGTGCAAACAAGTGTTCCTACTAGCGAAGAAGTCAGTGAGAGTAAAGATAGTACTGATGCTAAACCGAAAGAACACGAACCCGAAAATACCGATGCTACTGTCTGTAGTGTTGAAACTACTCAAGCAGCTAATTTTTACAAACCCTTAAATGAAGACAAGGATCTTTCTAGCGTTCCAATTTCGGAACAGCCTTCTGTGGACAAAGATATTAAAGATAAACCTGTTTTGACTTCAAAAACAGAAAATCTGTCGGAAATAACGACATATTTAAAAGATACAGAAAGTGATGGAAAGGATGTAATTGAAATACCATTGTTACATGATCAAAGCATAGTCACACAAAAGCCAAAGGAAGACGTTGTATCAGAAATAGATATTTTACAAGCGCTTAAAAATGAAATATTGAGTGAGTCTTTATCTATACCGGGATCAGAGACTACACCTTCAATGCATCAGCCTAAGTTAACGAAAGTAGCAAGTATTCAAGATGTCGTACCAAAAAAGAGGATATCTATTGAAAAATACAAGAAAAAATCAATTCCTTCAGCAACGACAGTCAATTCTTTGTTCCTCAATGACAGTAGCTCGGCTTTAGTGGATAATAGTACGTCATCGAAAGATGATAACTTAAAGAAACAAAGTCTTAAATTGACCGAAAAAGAATGCGAACGATTCAATTTCCCCGCTAAATTGGCTTTCGATGATGACGATGATGTCGATGATATTGTTTCTTCAGAAGATGAAGATGTGGGGAAAGAAGTATCTATAAATGATATATATGGAAACCTCGCTCCTAAATCACCAGATAATAACGAATCTTCAAGCATTAGAAATACACCACCCATAATTATACCCGTCGACCCTGTCAAGACGGTATTAGCTCCATCAACAATAGATGTTGACATGAGGACAATGATGGCAAACGCCATCACCGCACTACCATCTGGAGTTGAGACTAAACAGGAGATCCCGAAAAATAACATCGATAAAACTAAAACGCCTGTGGATCCTCGAGTCAGAAGAGACTTAAGCCTGAGCGTTGATAAGGATCGCGCCGTACATCCTAGTGCGTTGGATACTGATAAATTACAACGACCTGTACCTAACTACACAAATACCCCAAATTCTACTACAAACATAAATCCGAGTATAACGCCAAATAGAACTCTTTTAATGACTCCGAGTTTGACTCCTAATATGACGCCTAATAGAAATCCCAATATGACACCCAGTAGGGTTCCAAATATGACACCCAACATGACGCCTAGTCGGAATCCCAACATGACGCCTAATGCAAGATCTTACGAGATTGGTAACCGTCACCAAAGTGAAATGGAAGATATATCTCCTAGTAAGCACGTTTACGCTCCTATGTTCCCACTTTATGATCACCGAGAAAGTAGAGAGCAATCGGTGGCCAAAGAACCAGAACGTGAACCTCACTGGGACGCTCAAATCGATAGAGAAAGTAAAAGTAGAACAAGAGAATCACGTTGGGGAGATTCTTCAGAGAATCGGGATCGAAATCTTAAACATGATCCTCGATCTCATTCTGTTCGTAGAGATTCGGCTGAGTATTCGAAAACGGGTTATTGTGAATCTTATAATAAGTATGATAATTATAATTCAAGGTATAATGATAGACGGGACTATAGTAGATCAGATTGTCCTCGGACGCCACTGCCTTCGTTTGGGCGATCAGAGGCTCCATCAACGCCCAGTCATCCATTCGGTAGATTAGATAGTCCGATGACGCCTGTCCATCCGTTCGGTAGATCTGACTGTCCGCCTACTCCTAATCATCCATTTGGCCGCTCAGATTGTCCACCAACACCTAGCCATCCCTTCGGACGACAAGAGTACACTTGGAATGAGTGTCCCATGACACCTAGTCATTCATTTGGACGAATCGATATGCCATCGACACCGAGTCATCCGTTTGGCAGATCTGAAACACAGTCTCGAGATCCAAGATTAAATAGAATGTCTGATTATGATAATCTACAGAAAGATGACTCCGATCGCAACTATCGCAGAGATCATAATAGGCACAATTATAATAATTCGTACAGGTCAGAACCAGACAGACAGAGACCAGAGTCATATCGAAATTACAGAGAACGCAGTGTTGGCAGAAATGAAAGAAATAGTTACCCAGAAAAGGATTCTCGTACTTATAACAGAGATCAATCTTTTAGAAGAGAGTCCAGCATTGGACGTGCAACACCTCGAGACGATCGGTTCTTATCCAAAGATCGAAGCCTCAATCTTGCCCGAAATGATCATCATCGTAATAATGATCATGATGCCTTAAAAAAAGAATTCAATCGTGAACACTGTATGGGTCGTTCAGTACCGACCGATGACAGAATGCACCGCTCGTCATCTAGAGCTTCGAGTGTTAGTAGGTCTGATAATAAAATGTCTGTTGAACCAGATACAGGTAGTTCATTTACTATAAATACTAGTGTCCGGTCTACGTTTCAAGATTTTCGACAAGATGATAAATTACGAGACTTTAATTATTCTTTTGATGGACGCCAAAAACGTGCATCCAGTGTTGGAAGAACACTGTGCCGTGAGTCTAGTGTTGGTAGATCTCAACCGAATACAGAGATTTCCAAATTTAATAAAACATTTGAGAATCCAGATCGAAGTAACTTTAGGCGTGCACGCAGTGTAGGAAGAGATATACTCACGTCTGAAAGGGAAAGAACCTTGAAAGACTTAAAAGCAGATTTTGAGAATTTTTCCAAACAACAGAAAAAGAATGAATCGGTAAAAACTTTTAACTACAAAGATCCAAGAAGCCGCAGTAAATACATCGAATCGAGAAATCAAAGTAATCAAATTGTTAAAAAACACCAACACGGAAGTGTGACTGTTGGACCAGGCAATAAAAAACCATATTCGCCAAGAAAAAATCCAAGAGATCCAAGATTACGCCATAGTTTGACAAATACTAAAAATGAAAGTAGGGATTCTAGTAGTGATGAACGAGAAAAGAAAAATGTAGGAATAGTATATTCAAATGATAATATCACAAAAGGCAAAATCTTAGAATTGGGTTACGGTGTTAAAAATTATAAAATTCCTAAAATTAAAAGGCCAGTTGAAGAAAAGAAAGAAGATCAAATAGAAGAAGCAAAGAAAGAAGAATTAAAAGAACAAACCAAGAAAGAAGTATTAAAGGAAGAAACTAAGAAAGAAGGGAAGGAAAGTACCGGAAAAGATAAAAAAATGGAAATAACAAAATCACAGAAAAATAAAAATACAGAAAAATTAAAAAACAAAAGTCAAGACCAAAATCAAAAGACTTCAAAACCAGATTTTAGAAATGAAATATACAAAGCAGGAGTTGACTCACCTAAAAATAACGTTGAAAATGTCGAGAAACCTGAAAAACGAGTTACGAGATTAAGTAAAAAGAATGAAAGTTCTTTGCCATCATCAGAGGATGAGACTGCCACACAAAACAAACCTAAGAAAACAAAAAAGGCTGTCATATATGATTCAGATTCAGACGAAAATGAACCTATCATCAAAAATTCTAATAAGACATCTCCAGAAACACCTACACCCAAAATAAATCAATCAAAGGATACAGTGACGATGCCTAGTTCTCCTAAGAAAAAAACAATTAAAAGCAAAGAAATCGCGAATAATGAAGCATTAAATGAAAATTCTAATACTGAAATATCAAAAGAAGGTCCAGAGACAGAAACAATAAATGAAATACCAAATGATGTGACAGTAAAGAAAATACAAAACGATAACTTAGAACAAAGTTTCGCTATAGATGATTTGGAAATATTTTCTGATAATTTAGCTTCAGATCCAGTAATAGACAACATTAATGCTCTCATAGCTGATCTTGATGATGATTTAGAACCTTCTAAAATGGGTGCTACAGAATTTGGTGACCATATCACGCTAGAAAATATGTTAGAAAGCATTGATAGCGGCGATGATAATAATTCTAAAATTTTAACGGAAGAGTTTAATGATATATCAGAAGTAATAAAAAATGATATGAAACAGCCTTCTCAATCACCTAAAATTGACTCCCTTAAAAATGCTTCTTCTGTAGAAATGAAAGATAATTTAGAAGATAAATTTAGTTCATTGCATACAATTCAATCTGAAGAAAACATTACAGTTGCTTCTAAATCACTCGATATCCCTATGAAGAATCAATCTGATTGTGAACGTATAACAAACGACAATATTGACTCCACAACCGAGATTAACAAAGATACATCGTCAGAAAATCTGAATAATATGAATACTTCAGTCTTAGAAGCGAGCTCTGTACCAGACAGTACTAATGAGGTTAATACAAAGAAACCTAATTTGGAAGATCGTCTGCCTGATAGCACAAATGAGACACAAACTGATATCAATGCTTTAGTTACATCTTCACACGATTCTCTAGATGCAATTAATAAAGAAAATACAGAGCCTAGTTCATGTAGCAAAGATGCACCTTCGATAAATTCTATCGGCAATATATTATCTATTTTACAAAATAAATCTAAGTTGAAAGAAATATTAAGTATGTTAGGTGACAATTCTATTGAAAATGAAAAAATAAAAAAGAAACTTGAGAAGCTCAGTGAGATTGTATCAGATGAAGATGATGAAATAGAAAATAATCACTCCGAAAAGTCAAAAATCAATGTAAGTGTAGAGTCTAATAAATCTCATGATAAAAATGTAATCGTGAATGAAATGCCGAAAGAGAATAGTGCATCAATAGCAGATGTGAGTTTAGATACATCTAAAGAAGTTTTGACGCAAGCTGATAAAGATAAGAAGAATCCTGAAGTGGTATTAGAAACTGACAGTACGATTGAGAATCCAGATGGAAGTAACATTGAGAACCTACCCTTAGAAAAAGAGACTGATGAATTGAATACAGATACTAAAACAGTAAGAGAACTCAAAAAACCACCACCCAAGAAAGGCAAAGTCACAAAAAAAGGTAAAGGAAAAATTATCAAAAAGACTATTAAAGGAGTTAAACGAGTTACAAGATCGACTAAAACCAAGGCAAAAAAACCATCCAGAGAATTATTACTATTACAAGAGGACCTCAAAGAGATGTTCATAAGTGATGACGTTTTAAATGCAACAGGTATAAGAATGTGTCGGTTAGCAAAACTAATAAATGATGATAATTCTAAATCAAAAGAGGATACACACACTAATGATTCTGGACCTGTCGTAGTTTTGGAAAAATGTAAAAATTTAGAGTCTAATGATGAATCTAAACCAGTGGTAAAAAATGTAAGAAAAAAACCAGGTCCCAAGCCAAAGCCCAAACTGCAAGAAATTGATGAAACGGAAACCAAGGAAAAGGAAGGAAAATTTAAACCTTTGACCCACAAACCGGGACCAAAATCAAAAACAAAGAATATTTACAAATCGGACGACGAGGATCCCTATGCCTTTGAAACCGATTCCCTAAGCGAAACAAATGATTCCATTAGGTCTGTTGATGACAAGTATCAACATAGTTCCGATACAGAAAGTGAATCCATTTGTTCATCTCAAAGTTTCGGGAGCTCCGATTTGTTAGTCGAAGTAAAGAAAAAAACTAAACGTAGACGATCCGCTTGGCAGTCTGGCGTTATAAAACCGAAAAATAAGAAAAAGAAATTAGAAAATAAACAACAAGAGAGTTCTCTGAATGAAAATTTACCACTCCCAGAAAAACCACTTGGTATGCCGGATATAAATTGTTTTACTGATAAATCTTACTGTTTTTACAAGAATATATTTAATTATTCTTGTCGCCTGTGCAACTATAATGGAGAAAATATTGTAAATCACTATAAACAAAACCATCCACATTCAGAAATTCCACTTTCTCGTCTTAGTCCCGAAATGGCAAAAGAGGCAATCGAACAATGCGGAGAGATAAATTTTCAAGCTATCAGTAAGGTGCCTAGCGAAAAATATGTGTGTAGATTCTGCTTCAGAGAATTTGGAAAAAAAAGAGCCGCGTTGGAAGCATTTTTCTGGCATATTGTTAGCATGCACACCGGTGAATACAAACACTCTTGTTCATTATGCGTTAATGAAGCTAAATGCCCTTTCAACTTGGACATACCATCTCCTCCAAAAGACGTTAAAGGCCAACTTATAGGTTACATTTGTGAAAAGTGTAACTTTACCCAAATCTCTTTAGAAAATCTGAAAACCCATGTCATAGTTCGTCATAATGACGAACAAACAGAAGTTTATACTATTAATTTAGCAGTAATGTCAAGAAAAGTAATTGCTCAACTGCTAAAGCGTAGCAGCTACCAACAGCCGAAGAAATTGCGAGTTCTAAGAAGTGGAAGGTCGAATCAAAGTATCACTGAAACCAGTGATGAACATAGCGATATAACAGATAGTGATCACTCGTTTGACCCGTCGCCATCCACAGTGGCCAAAGATTCTACATTAAAACCTTCTATTAACACAAAAGATGAAGATCCAATACTACCACCCTCTTTTTCCTCAGTAGTCAAAGATCCTATATCGCCACCCTCTAAAAAGGAAAAACCTTTAACAACTAAACTGCAGTCAAAGATAAGATTTGAAAATGATGACAGTTTAATTGGAGTATCTAATTCTAACGAAATTATCAAAACTATTGTTAAAAAGGAGGTCGTAGAAGAGGAAATAAGAAACAACAAAGAAATTGAGGCATTGAAAAATAATTTAATATCTGAAATATGCGGAGCCGAGACTACATCGGAAGCCACTGGAAGTACCTTTGCAGCAGATATCCAAGATTGTGCCCATTTCAAGATAACTTATACAGAATCCGGGTCGAAGGAATACGTTTGCTGTGTTAATGGCATAGACAATCATTACAAAACAACACTTTTGATATCTCTAAAGAAACACGTGCAATTCAAACATTCTGAAAATTGGGACGGTTACTGTTTTCTCTGTAAAGTAATTGTCACACCTCAAGGAAAGCACAAGTTTAAAGATTGTTTGGAGCACTTCCTCGACAAGCACATGGACAATTTCCCGGTTCTAGAAAAGATTTCAGTTCGAAGCGAAGAGGAACAAAGCACGGGACCTCCAGTCGAAGTCCAGCAACCCGCTAATAAGCCTTACATAAATGTGCGCCCAATATCTGAGCTGATGTCAACAGAAGTCGAAGTTATACCGAATGCAGCACTACCTTCTGCTGTGGAACTGCCAGCTCTGCCAAAAATCGAGAATGTCATGAGTCTTGGCGCCCAAACGGCCGAAATGCCACGAGCGAGTCCGAGTTATCCAACCGTGTTAGCAGAGCCTCGAAAGGATGACAAAGAGTATAAATTCGAGGAGGTTCAGGCGGAGGTGATGTCGAAGAAGCACCGCGTCGTTCTTGACACAATGATGATGATGCCGAAACTGATAAACGTGTTCAAATGCGCCGGCAGCTACTGTTCATTTACTTCTGATTCGGCGGAGCAAGCGTTACTGCACGCGTCGACGCACCAGCGCGTGGGAGGGGAGAACTCTTTGATATGCTCCTACTGCGACTTCGATTGTTCGGGGAATGCGATAGATTTGGTGATGCACGTGTTCAAAGCTCACGGAGCATGTCCATACGTGTGCGGGTATTGCTTCTACCGAGCGGCGGCGAGCCAACTCGTCACGGCACATATTAGTCGTATACACAAAGATGTGCCGCCAAAGGTTCTTTCCGTGGCCAATGCAGTCCCGCCACAGACTAAAGACAGTACGATGTTAAAGCGAGAAGACGTCGTCCTTTACTACATCTGTTCTTTTAAAGGTGTGTATCCATTATTTTTATTTCGAATTTATTTGTCATCAAAGGGTTTCCTACGGTGTATATAATGCGTGGATTTTTTTCTAGTAAAACTTCTTAAGATCTAGCAGTTAAATGCTTAAAAAAACGGGTGCGTGTACTTATGTAGGCGCGTGAGAAGTTATCCTTCTTTGGCATCGTTTAAAATTAGTTTTTAATTGCATGCAAATAATTAATTACAATAAATTAATAAAAAGTCTGGAAAAGGACGAAGTCAATAAAGTTCAGTTTTAATTTGAAAAAATAAATAAATAATCAAAATATTCAATTAAAATCGCTACTGAATATAATTTATTAGAACATATGTGATTTGCACTTGTATGAAACTCAAACACGTATTCCGAATATACAAACTAGAAACATGTGGATAAATATTATAAATATGAATACCTATAACTGTTACTGTATCTGATATGACGATTTGACCCGCTCAGACTTATAAATACACTTTTGAATTACGAAGAACGTAAGCGCCGCCAGACATTGAGTTTTTTTTTGCTGACACATTCGACCCCCATATAAAGGGCTGAGGTATTGTACTTTACAGGGTGCAATATTGTCCCCTTATGCCGCGCTTGAGTAAATCCCGAAATCCTAGCTTCAGCTCCATATTTAACTATTACATTTTCAAGTATTCTCATGCAGTTTCAAGCGATTCTTGTCGAATTCAAAGGCGATAAGTTCAACTGGGGGATCCTTCTGGCGAATTTTATTTTGTGGTTGGATGAAGATACAGGATGTTTTTTATTATTTTTGTGGTGTTGCTGTTTTTTTATTGTAATTTGTTATTATTTAATTTTTTCCAGATTGCAATTTCCGCACTTATACTGCAGGAAGATTTTGCGAGCATTTGGTACAACAACACCCTAAAGAGAGCAGCTTTACCTGTTCCGTACGTATTTTTAAATTACTATAAATTATATTATAAAGATATTAAAATGCCACGTTTGTTCGTTATTTTTGTTATACAATGAAGATATTCGGGAAGTCGCCCAGAAGTAACTAGAGAATTTTGGAATCGCGATAAAGATTAAGTTTAAGTTATAGAACTTACATCTATATATATGAAACTCAAGGTGACTGACTGACATAGTGATCTATCAACGCACAGCCCAAACTACTGGACGGATCGGGCTGAAATTTGGCATGCAAGTAGATGTTATGACGTAGGCATCCACTAATAAAGGATTTTGATCAATTCTACCCCCAAGGGGATAAAATAGGGAATGAAAGTTTGTATGAAACTTTGTCAATTTTAAACAGATCGGGCTGAGACTTTGTATGCAGGTATAAGAAGAATCATAGATGAATGTCATTGCGTATAGTACAAGCCTGAGAACAAAAACTGTAGTCTACACTTCAGCTCTACACCGAAGCGAAGCGAGGGCGGGCCGCTAGTTAATTTATAAATTTCAGCATAGTGCAAAAACCATTACAGTCAAACTCAACATGAATACTAATTTAAATAGTATCACACTGGCACAATAAATATGTTTAATTATTCAATCGTGCGCATAAACGTACGTAAAAAGGGGTACCAGTAAATTAACTCAAAAAAAAGAAAAAAAGCTATTGAGATTCATGCCGGCATACTTTTAGAGCAACGCAACGACCAAAGACAAGGAAGCCTGTGCAGTAACAATCTTACATACAAGAACGTCTACTTGACAAGTTTAGGTTGTCTGTGGTTTTCTCAAGAAGTTTGCCGCTACCTAATCTACACGCTAGGTTGGAGAAAATTCATAACAAGTTTGATTTATATATGAGGACCTCGATGGCGCAGGTGGCTAGCGCGTTCGGCTGCGAAAGTTGAAGTTAAGCAACTTTCGCAATGGTCGGTCATCGGATGGGTGACCAAAAGTCTTCTATCTGAGTTCCTCAGTGCTTCGCAAGGCACGTTAAACCGTTGGTCCCGGCTGCGTCTGCAGTCGTTAGCACCCACCAATCCGCACTGGGCCCGCGTGGTGGGTCATATCCCAATCTCCCTATTCCATCCATAGGGAAGGCCTGTGCCCCAGCAGTGGTGACATTAATAGGCTGATGATGATTGGTTTATATATGTGGTTTCTATCACGTCATACAATAATTTTCGAAATGCCTTACCTCTAAGTTAATTCGTTTCGTAAATTTCATCGTGTTGTAGGTCTGCAAGCTATCCCAGAACACTCCGCAACTCCTCATCCGACACATGAAGAGCCACGAGCTGAACATATACCAATGCACCTGGTGCGTCCACGGCGCGGACTCGGAGACTGGCCTACTGTTCCACGCCTCGCAGAAACACCCGGACAAACAACCCCTGGCTTATCTTCGAGTTATCACAAACAAGGTAATGTATCTCCTTTATTACCAGTAGCCCCCGCGGCGATAGCCACGGGAGGCAAATGGGAATGAAGCCGCTGCCTCCACTTCAGTTTTTTATAAATAAATAAATATTTCCAACACTCACACCAATTAGCCGAGCCCCAAAGTAAGCACTGTAAGGCTTGTGTTATGGGATACTAGGATAACGGATAAGAATACATGTACAGTACATATATAAGTATATTTTTATAGAAATATACATATTAAACATCCATGACTGGAGTACAAATGCTCGTATTCATCACACAAATATCTGCCCCCACCGGGATTCGAACCCGGGACCTCTCGAGTCGGTGACATCATGAAACCCGGCGTACAAACCACTCGGCCACGGAGGTCGTCAAATTATTAATTTATACTTATTCATTTGAAATTATATAGTCCTCTAATGGACCACAGGACACAGACACGACTTTTGTATTGGTCTAGTAGTTTATTAGTTACAAAAAAATACGTAATTCACAACTTTTTCTACATGGAAAAATTGGTTTCCTATAGAAATTTCCACCTCCCGCCCTTTTCTCTCCTTTTCTCGCCCTTTCAGACGAGTATTATTGCCCGGAACTTGAAACTATCTCTACACCAAATTTCATATTAATCGGTACAGTGGTTTAAGCGTGAAGTGGTAACAGACATACACACTTACCAATTTATAATACATTAGTATGGATTATAGTAGCGATGTAATGATGAAGTCATAGTGACAACTTTCATTCATATTTTCATGCTTGCATTTTATTTATTTTCAGGATGGCTCTTCAGCTGCCACTGCTCAACAGCTGAGGGTCCTTCCACTAGTGTCTTTCAACAAATCTAAAGTCGCCGTCACTGAGATTCCGAAGGTCGCCAATAATGAGAACCCTGTGAGAGAAGCCGAGCGATCCATAGAGCTGGAGAAGCTCATAGGCCACACCAAGACAATGATAGAGTCTATGGAATCAGACGCTCCGGAAACTGTCGTCGAACCGCCGACAGAAACGGAATCCGCAGTGTCCAGCATAATGGAAGAAAGCAATATCACCAAGAATATGGAACCGACTGTTGCTGCGGTCGTGGAGACCGTATCTATTCTTCCTCAACAACCCGTGACTCCACCCTCAACCCCGGCCTTGTCCGAACAAGTCACACCAAAAATCAAAGCCGAGCCAGTAGAAAATACACCTACGAAAGCGTTGCCCACCGAAGTGGTATGCCTAGACAGCGACGACGAAAGTTCAAGAGACTTCAGCAGCGTCATTGCCCTTTCGGACGACGAAACGGTCGCGGCTGAATCACCAGCCACAACTAAACACGATAAATACAAAGTGGTACCCATATCACAGCTGCTCAAATGCCCCTTCTGCCTTCTGAATTACAAAGCCGTGGGAGGCTTCAAAAGGCACACAAATAGCTGCACAATAGCATGCGGTCGACCGTGGCAATGCGCACACTGTAAAATGCCTGTCCAAAACAGAGACGCTCTGATCAAACACTACTTACTCGATCACAATAGAGAAAATTGCTTCAACATCTGCGATATATGCAAAGATCGGTTTCCTACTTTAGCTCTACTGAAAACTCATTTGAAGAGCGTTCACGGGGTGAACAAAGTCGTGGTTTGGAGGAGATCTTCCGCGGGGAAAGAATCGGAATGCTTCGCAGGCGCGGCACCCCCGGCCGCGCCGAAGAGGAAGAACTCTTCTGGCAGCACTTCGGAACCCCCAAAGAAACTGAAACGATTCGGACCGCAGGATGTAGACCTCCTACCCATAAACCCAATTCTGGACGAGTCCGTTTCGTGCACTCTTTGCGAGTTCAGTACGAAAGTGCGCATTAACATGTTGCGGCATTTACAGTTCCACGCTGACCAGCAGCCTGTAGCGCAAACTGCGCCTATCAACCCAGTTCCTCATCTAGAAACTAACGAGAAACATTTCGACAAAATGGTGAACTTGGCCTCTAGTTCCATCGTAACTCGAGCGCCGGAAAAGCCTCGACCCGAGGGGAATACGACAGTTTCGGTCCTCATACCTCCCGAAGCGGCCTCCCGCTACCCCAAATACGTGCCAGACAAGCAAAGACACACTTGCGGTGCCAAAGGCTGTTCCTACATTTCGTTAGACGAGGCTATGCTGCGATGCCATTGGGAGACCTTGCATTCCGGCTCGAACGATTTCCACTGCGTCCATTGTCCACCGTACCAGCATTTGGACACTTCGAAACCTTTAACGTCTGCGAGAATCATCGCCCATTTGAAAATGCACGACGCCACTTTGTACGCGTGCTCCGCTTGCGCCTACTACCATTACCGAAAGCAAGTTTTAGAGAAACACCTTTCGGAAGTCCACAAAGGCAGCGGTAGATTAATGGTCGTTCGAGAAGAAGTGATGACTCCTACCCCCAATCCTGTCCAAGCTGCCCCCACTATGGACTTGAAGCCTTGGCAATGTGGTTTGTGCAGCTTCAAGAGTATGCTGCGTCCAGAAGTTGTGGAACACTGCTCTAAATCTCATCAATCGAAGATGCAGTTCAAGTGTTCTTATTGTCCCTTCCGCACGTCTGCTTTGGAGAATGTGACCAAACACCAGGCTAATTCCCACCCTAAGAAGGACCCTGAAGTGTTCTACTATTATTATCGCGAGGGTTCCATCGCCGATGAGGCGGACGGCACCCCTAAATGGATGAAGCAGCGGCAAAAGATGAATGTTACGGAACCCGAAGTGAAATGCGAAGTCGTTGAACCGAACCCGTATTTGAGTCAGTTGTTGTTGGCTCCAGCAAAACCCCCTACAACTCCAGTAGGCTTGGATTTAAATATTGTGAAACAAGAAGTGGACGATACTGTGTGTGATGTGTCTATTGAACGGCTTGTGGAAAAGTATGGGCAGCAGTGTGAACCCAATGGACTGAGATACAAGTGCCCGTTGTGTAAAGTGGTCATTGAAGACACAAAGGAATCAATGCAGTCTCATTTATACGAAGAACTTAAATATAGAACGTAAGTTGTTTATTTATTTGTTTACTAAGATTTTTCATTTCTTTTGTGGCACTAAGGCAATCACATTGTCTTAATATGAATCGGTATCCAGAAATTAAATTCTTATTATTATTATTTATTCAGAAAGCACAATAATAATGCATAATGCATGCAATCCGACAATTATTTGCACACATTCTGATCAGGGCCGGATTTAGGGCTGTGATCAGGGGGTCCCACAACAGAGATAAAAAATATGTCAATGGGTCCCACCAACCGACCCTGGGGTCCAATTCGTAAGTGCCCCAGCCTACATTTAGGGGCCGCCATTCCGCCCTGATTCTGATTATATTAGATTTTGAATTTGTCAATTAATCTGACAGAATGATACTGAGCACCGTTATCAATTTAGATAATGAAAATTTATAGGTATTATGAATATTAATACACCTCTGCCCATACATTATCAATTAACTGATTATGAATTAGTTTTTTCTCTCTTCTATTGTAAGAACTTACCAATAGCCGTTCGTGAGACAACTGATCTAGCAGAATCTTAGACTTGTGTGAGCACCAGAGTTGAGACTGAACTCAAATTATGTATTCAGATTAGGATTCGGATTGTATGAGGCTAGCTTAAGCTCGTCATGCCTTTTGGAATAGTCGCCCTCAAGCTATTTTCAGTAAAGTTTTGTCAAGTGCAACAGTAATTTAAACCATAAACAGAAAATATGCTGAGCGTGCTGTCCTGGGTAAAACTGGGTAGAATATTATTGTGAGGGACAGTTCAGGTTAGGATAACCAACTTTTTTTTCTAACAATTGTAGTATTTTTGAAACTGTGACCTCTAAAATATGGTAGATGACAAAAAATGGAAGAAATATAGTATGCGGTTAAAATATTTACTTTATTTTAGAAATGAGTATATTTTTGGTATATACATACAGTGCCGTCTTTGACCTATTGGAGGCCCTGGGCATATTAGGATATAGGGGCCCCTATGACCCCCGTTTGTTGATCTAACAAGAACTAGGGACTTATTTGTGATCTGAGGGGCACCTATCGATCGCGGGGCCCTGGGCACTTGCCCAAAGTGCCCACTGGGAAAGACGGGTCTGGGTATATACCTTAATACTTCAGTTTTTATTTTGAGAAAGCTTTTACTGGAAATAGTCTGCTTTAAGCAAAATATAGTAGTTTCGCCTACTATATATTTTATTTAGAAATATAGTATTTGCTCCCCTAATATAGTAGGATACTTTGTAGTAGGGTTGGCAACCCTTGTTGAGGTATTGGCTGAACTATCACTTTATCATGCATGTGTCCATTTTATGTCTTTATTGGGTTATTTTATTAGTAGTTTTACTTCATTTCTTACTTTGCGTAATAGTTGTAATGTCCCCTTAGTATAGTGAGGTTTCGCCTTTTTCTAGTAATCATTTATTTCGTCATAAATTACACGTCAATCATAAATTTCAGAATAGAAATACCTACATAGAGTATTATCTGAACTTTCAATGAATTCAAAATGTCAAAATTCAATTCCTATGTCAATTTCCAATTATATTAAAATACAATATTCATATTTAAATAAAGTTAAATGTCATATACATAATACGATAACAAAACAAAAAAAAAATGAATAAAAAAATTAGGTAACTACGATATTGTTTTAATAAAATAAAAAAATAGTCATTCAATATTATAGAAAAATATATTATCAGTCCATAATGCAAGGATTCACATTTAAAAACTCATTGACACTATAAAAGTTCTGTCAATGAGCCATAACTTTAATTAACAAAAGTATAACAAAGAACAAAGACAGTGATACTATTTATTTTAAATAGACGTAAGAGTTTATTGATTCTTAAATTACAATCAAAAATATTTAAGTACAAGAATTAATGATAATACAACATTTGATTTAAGTTGTCTGGATTTTAAACTAATTGGTACATTTTAACTATTTTTAGATGGTCCTGTGCTCTATGCTCGTACAAGGCATTCCACAAAACTGGCTTGAATGAACACATAGTCCAAGAACACGGAGGCCAATCACAAGAGCCGAAGCAGCTACCATCAGACGTTAACATAGAGAAATGGGTCAGCCATATCTTGCAGCACCAAACCAAATCCATAGAGAAAAACAAAGAGAACCTTTCGAAGCAGAAGATGTTGACAGAAAAACCGGCACCGTCAACATCTACAGCCAAACCTACAAGTGTTTCAACGGAGAAGCCTCCGGATAAATACTCTATGAAAGAATTGGAATTGGTCTTCGGGAAGTTGGGTGTGCCTAACAATATGATGTTTTGTTGTCCGAAGTGCAGCTTCAAGACCAAGGATGAAGCCGCTATGAGGGACCACTTGGAAAGCGAACTGACGAGAATTAGGTAAGTGTTCATTCCTCTATTATTATAATGCGATGGGAGTTAAAATTAAGAAAAAAAAACGAGTGTGCTTATGACCACACGACTGAAGTGAAACTTCATTAGCCCTAGCTGTATGTATAAATATATATATTTAGACTAGCTGTCCCAGCGAACTTCGTACCGCAATAAAAAAATTGATTTAGGGTTGTATGTATTTTTGTATGATGTATCATAAAAAAATAAAAAAAAAGATAACAAAAATTGAAAAAAAAATTAGGGGTGGATTACCCTTATCATTTAGGGGGATGAAAATAGATGTTGTCCGATTCTCAGACCTACCCAATATGCACACATAATTTCATGAGAATCGGGAAAGCCGTTTCGGAGGAGTTTAACCACGAACACCGCGACACGAGAATTTTATATATATGATATATATACACACACACACACACATACAAATGGAGCTAAAGAAGTTTCAGTCGTGTGGTCATAAGCACACTCGCTTTTTTTTCTAGCAAAAGTTTTCTTAACTTTTATAAATCTAGTGGCCGAGTGGTTTGTACGCCGGGTTTCAAGGTGTCGCCTACTCGAGAGGTCCCGGGTTCGAATCCCGGTGGGGGCAGATGTTTGTGTGATGAATACGAGCATTTGTACTCCAGCCATGGATGTTTAATATGTATTTCTATATAAATTTACTTATATATAAATTTACTTAGGTACAATACATGTATTCTATCCGTTAACCTAGAAAACCATAAGCTAATTGGTGTGTTTTAAAAAAAAATACCAAAAAGTAACAAACATCCCTTTCTGCAGATGGTGCTGCAGCTACTGCGACACTAAATTCCAGACCTACCACGAGGCTCAGTTCCACTGCAAAAGTGTCCACATAGGGGGGGCAGCTAGACCCATAGAAGCGGTCCGAGACCCTGCGTTACGCACTGCTTGGGTCCAAGCAGCGTTACAGGTCCAGAGGCTTTCCATGAACTGTCTACCTCTAGCTGACACCCCTCCCCCAGTTCCACAATCCCCACCACCCCCCGAAGACTCTCTATTAGTCGTACGCTACGAAGAGACCGTTACTCCTCTAGAACCACAGCCCCGAAAACGTGACATTGAGCAAGAGAAACGCCCAATCAAATCGCGCCAATTAAAATGTCCCCACTGCCAATTCAAAACTAAACACGCTCCTGCGTTGAGAGAACACCAGCTCAAGCATTTCAACGTGAAATCTCGCATTTGCGCTCTTTGCGACTTCGTTGGGACCAAAATGGCTGTCGCGGTGCATCTACAGAAGAATCACGGCTGCGGATACAAACCGGAGTATATCAAGTTACCGGAAGTGCCGAGCGGGCCGGAAGCCAAAATCAAGACATATTTAGTCGACGATACAAATGTCTACTGTTTGATCTGCGAGAAGATTATCACAGAATCGGAAACCGCTGCTCATAATCATCAGAAGATTGTACTGGAAATTGCGAGAACAAGTGATGTGGTTGCAGCGTGCCGAAGCTGCTGGGCTTTACGTATAGACCAGGCTTCGATTCGCGAACATCACATCGCTTCTCATCCAGACATTGATGGGATAGACTTTGGGTTCAACGAACTTTTCAGTGGCCCAACAAAAGTCATGTGTTGCGGCCATTGCACTAGGCGATTCAAGGACACCAACCTACTGTTCTCGCATCAGAGGAGTATGCATGGCTCGCTTCCCGCCATTTTTACCACAGCGCCATATTTCAAATCGAGGACATTGATCTCGGATTCTGAGGACGATGAGTCGACGAATTCGATCGGAGCACCGAAGCGGGTGGCCAGGAAGTCCACAACGAAGTTGCCCGCGCAAGCTGTAGCAAAGAAATCCACGACCAAACTACCATACGATGTTGCGGATGAAGAAATGACTGAGTATTCGTATTATGGGACGAGGCCGCCATCTGCTGACCGTTACGAGAACGTCACTACAGTAATGTCGTTCTATAACACTATGGTACCGTTCACTATGAAGAAACTGAGTCAAGTTATCAACATCAATCCGACTGTGGTCGTCCAAGACATTAGAAGCGAACACTTGCACTTGCAGTGAGTAATTATTTAAACATAACTCTTAGGACCGTACTCGGAGACGTCAATTAACTTAAGTTGCTGCTGTCACTTTTTTACTATATCATTAGAGTAAGAAAATACCACAAAGATCTATAGGAATGTGAGTGACAGTTCAGGGAGGGCGCTGCTGTCTACGTAAAGGACATACAAAATATGACATTTAAAAAGACAGCGGCGATAGTACCTTCATAAAGATCCTTGTTGCACTATAACTTCGATGACATTAAATTTATTAACAATTAAATTTAATGCTTGCCAAAGTGACGGCATCGTATCTAATCGAACTTAAAATGTAATTGATGTCTCTGAGAACGTGCGTTGATCCTAATCAGCCATATAGTATGGCGAAATATCTGTGATTTTTCAACATTCTTATAAGAAATCATTATCATTTTTCATATTGTTTTGTTCACAAAAACACTCCGAATTTGTAATATACTTACTTCAAATACGCTTATTAATTATTTAGGTACCTAGTTAGTTATTTGACACCCATTATAGTGAGTTTTATAATTAGCAATTTAAGATTATGTTGTCAATTTTATAAATGAAGATTGGAGGCATTTTTTTTTGCATTACTTCATCTGTAATAACTGATTCTGGGAGGTTATGTTTTTCTTTTGACGTGACAACGTCTTAAATTAGGTTGCGGCTGGGAGTCACTTATGAAAAAGTGTAACGCTCGGTAACGTTACGATGAGTTTAAGTTTACATGTACAATGTTTTAGTAAACAAAATATATTTCTATAGTTAAAATTTGTGCAATTCTTATTTTCATTCAATTCCTTGTTCCTATTGTGCAATTTAATTATATTCATATCAATAAATATTCTACCGAGAAAAAGACGTTGTCACGTAAAATCTTCGCCCGTAAAACCGACTTTTTTGTAATATGTATGTTCAACAGATTTCTCTAATTTAAATGTTAAAATTGTCTTTTTGATGTCAAACTCCATAAAAGTATGGTAAAAATATTAAGGACCGTCTGGTAGCATTGTTGATCGAAGCGTCTGTGGTTTGAATAAAAATTTTCAAAAGTAAGTTATAAAGCTGTTTACAATTTATTTTCAAATATCTAGGTACGTACAATTCCTTTCGAGTTTATGTCAACACTTCTCAACATTGAGACTTTAGAGCAAAGTAAGCTTTATTTTCTAGGTAATAAAGTTTATAAAATAAGGCACCATGGGCTGTACATATCGTATGTCGTCGTATAAACTAAATTCTGAATCTTATGTTAGTCGACATAAAGCTAAAAGTCATTTGGAGACACAATTTTACATTGTGTTCAATGTCTTTGCGTAAAATATGAAAAGTCTAAATACCTAACCAATGACGAACTACGAGTGGCAAACTTGTAATATTTTCTATAGTTGTTAAATGTTCAATGTTTGAAACTGCTCTTCTCACATAATTATAATGGGGAATATGCATGATTTTTTTCATATTTTTATTTATTAATTTACATCCTTTTAAAAATCGTCAACAAAAGATGCCTAAAACTAATATAACATTCCACGGGAATTTAAAAAGCGCCCACCATTTTGGAGTACCTACTTTGTATGATTTTTTTTTAATTTTTACGACCGTGAATTTCTCCATTTCTGTCATTCTTTAGTTAAATACTTTGTATGACGTCATACTAGTGAAGTTAACCGATTACGAATTTTAAAACCGGTAATACGTACATAACTATTACTAAACGGTTTAGAAAATCATTTTTTTTGTTAAAACTTAGATTGTTTTCTTTTGCATAAACACGATTTGTTTCCAGACCGCATTGTATGTCCAGAAGATTTTTTTTTCTTTTGCTTATGCCGTTCTTCACTACAACAATGACCCTAGCACTAGCATTGTGATACTGCAAGACGGCAGGTGTCTATCAAGTAATATTACTTTGTAATTAAAAAACTAATTGAGTTACATTTCGTAAGCAAAGAATTACAAAAAGACGAAATAAATTACCAATTTGTCATTATTTTGCTATGAAATTAAATATTTAATCAGTCCTCCACGCGGCGCAGCGTCCGCGCCAAATTTTATGTGAACCTACTTAGGCGTAAAATGAACAATTTTGCACCTTTATTAAATTTTTAGGATCACATGAAATCGATCCAATGCGATACGATTCAGATCCTGGATCGATTCTCAGGGTTACGATCCAAAATATCGATTCAATGCATAAGATAGGACATTCTCTAAAGTTAGTGAAGTATTAAGGCAGAAATATACTTATCTGTCGTATTGTGATGACGCTTCAGAGAGTTATCGGTTTCATTCGCGATGGGTCTACACCGTACTCGATCTAACCGTAGAAAAGTTTGAGCTGATATCTCTCTGTCGTGTCACGACAACGCAATACGACAGATAGACGGAATAAGTGGACCTCGTTCGGATACATATATGATTGCAATCGGTTTTAAAAAGTGAACCGGTGATTATCGGTTTTCACAAAAAGAAGTTTACATCACTAACTACGTCATAGTCCATAACAACAAACAAGTCGACAGCTAGGTTACACGTTAAGTTGAATTGAATTAACGAGAGAAAACTGTTCAAATTGGAATATTAGTGCTGTGAAAGTTCTTAGATACTACAGCATCTTTTTATTAACTACCAATAGCGATATCAGCATGGAACAATATTCTTCATACATGGAGAACCAAACAAAAAAACCGACATACAGGTACTGCATTGTGCCTATGTGTGGAAATACAAGAAGAAATTCCCCCGGCAAAGTATTTTTTCTTGTCCCGAAACATGCAGAGATAAGGAGAAAGTGGTGTGATGCTATGAACAGAGACATGGTGTCTCCAACAACTGCTTTATATTGTTGTGAAGATCACTTTAATGTGAGTACTTGTTGTTTCTAAACATTTTTCTTCATAAACTCCGCAAGAATTTCGAATACCATGTGAATTGTATTCAATTTAATACAATATTTCTACTATATGTATTCACTTTCATTGAAAAATTCTACACAAATGCTTGTAATTTAATCTTTTAGCTATTTTGAGAATGGCGTGACCCGCAAATTAATACAAATGGTATTAACTTGAGGTCACACGCATACGACTATGTTTGAGTCATTATTGGTGTCAATTCTGACACGATTCTCTAAACCTAAACTTAAATTTCACAATAGTGTATCCTTGTCATTCTCTATACGGAATGAAAAGGAGAGATTGATGATAAATTTAGTTTTAAGTTTAGAGAATCACGCCAGAATCGACACCAATATACATTTAAAATTGTAATTTAAATAAAAATGTCATTTATGTTTACAGAAGAAATGCAGTAATTTTATTGCTCTTAATTAATTTTTAGGCATTACTGTAAATAAAATTCATTTTTTTTAAATTTAAACTGGAGTTTTAAAAGTATAATAAAGAAGCAAGCGTGGTCATACAAAATTGTATTAAAATCAGGTGTGTTCAGATTAAGGTCAAGTCATCTTGATATCAAAATAGTGGGATCACTTTCTTTGTATAATTTTTCTATTAAAGTATAAAATAGTAGGTATATTGTATTAAATCCTATAACTAATAATTTAAAAAAATTGGCAGGTTTCTGCCATGTTGATGTTAATTTTTCTTTGGTGTCTACATCATAACTTTGTTAACAACAATTTTGTGAGAATCTTTGGTGTAGATTTAGCTCCATTTGCAGTTATTTCTCTAAATCTCAATCCAACTAAAACGATAATGTCAAGTTGACGTTGACATTATACATGGGTTCAATCTAGTATCAGTTGAAATCACAGCAAGTGGACTTTTTCATTTGGTGTATAAATTAATATGTAGTAATAGGTAGTAACTACTATTTAATATTTCTTTTAACATCATGTTAGTATCTTAGAAATAAATTTCACCATTTTATTTTATTTTTAACTCTTTTTAGGTAGAAGAAGATACAACTAATTACATTGAATACAAAATTAGAAATTTCAAAGAAGACCTAAGAACTACATTAAGATTAAAGAAAGGTGTAATTCCTCATAAATTTGACTGTCAAAAAAATGAGGAGTTTCACAACATCAAAATCTCCTTTCAAAGTATCTTGGGCATGTAAAGGCGGTAAAAGAAATTGTCTCGAGATAATGCTGATGTAGTATCAACATTCTCTAGCCAACATTCACTGATGTCATCATCATCATTTGAATCGGCTACAAGTTCTTCAGAATCAAGCTGGATTGTAGAGGTGATTCCAAGAAAGATACGTACATACTTTAAAAATGAAATGCATAGTTGCATGAACAGCTATTGAATTAAGCAGGGTATTCATTAAACAACATTTGTTTAAAACACTGTTTATGAAGAGTGTTTCATAATGTTGCTTAATCGTTTTATGCAGTTTATAAACAAAGTACAAACCAAGGTGATGAAACATTGTTTCAGATACATGTTATTATGTTCTCCACTCCGAGTGGAGAGCTAGACAAAACATTTAGTTTATAAACAAAAGTTGAAGAGTGTGGACATTTGTTGCAGGAGGTTTATAGTTTAATTAAACATGGAAGTAGTGTGGTCCAACAATCAAGTTTTGATGCTCATAGAGCGTTTTTGTTTACGTTAACTGCTTTGGGTTTAAAAAAAAACAGTGTTACCGGTAAACTTGTTTATAAACAAGATGATCAACTTCATAAACAGTTTATAAACAAAATAATGTTGCCTTATGAATTCCTGACTAAAGTGCCTAAAATGTGAGAATTTGCAATGTTATTACCACATGCTTGTGTTGACCACAGCTTAGTACCTATCATAGATGATGTTACAATTATAATACTCACTTGCTTGTGGTATAATTAACATGCAGGACGTTTTAATAAAAAAAAAGATATTTTTATTTGTTTGTTTTATTTAAGTATGTTTATCTTATTTAAATAAAAGTGGGAAAATGGTATCACACTAAAATAGGGTCCATTTTTAAATGACTTCGATTATGAAGACATTGACTGTTCGAAGATGCCACAGAATTGGGCGTTTCTTTATTTATAAAAAGGCCTGCACTTGTGCCATGCATTTTGCAGATATTGCATTATTCTTGTCCTTTAAACAGGCTCATAGATTTATGTGAAGACGGGTATTTCATTTCAACACAAGAAACGTTATTCTCCCCATCAGGTGATGCTCTCATATAGGGCTGCCATCTCTAAAATGTGGCAACCAGGACAAGACACGTGATAACCCCGGATTTTGGGGCGAAAAACCCGGACAGACCAATAAAAAAGTAGTTAAAATGTCACAAATCAACTTTTTTTATGTTGATGTAGGCAAAAGAGCTAGCTGTCCACATGATAATAAGTGGTCACTGCTTGGACACTTGCAGCACCAAGGGCCAATCATGCGTTGCCGGCTCTGAACGAAAAGGTTCATCCGCCTTTTTAAGATTACCATATTATAGCTATAAGAAAAAAATACTGAGGGAAGTTCGTTCCAGATCTTGCTGGTACGCAAAAGATAGGAACACATTGTACTCGAACGCCAGGCGTCCAGATGGTGGGCGTGAAACTTCTCTGCGGTGTGTGATGCTGTGAAGAAGCTTGGCCACTGGTATCCGGTTGAATAATTCCTCGGAACACTCCAGTGTATAGATGGTAAGGTGCTTTGGGGTAATTCCGAA